CACATTTACATGGTGGCATCTGGCATCCACATCCCTTTGTTTCCATTGTGCTCTGTTGCACACTTAAAAACTATAATTTCCTTAGTAATGATTCCTCGGAAGCTTATGTAATATATTGCTTACTTTGTACTCCATTGCAGATCATGCAAACAATTGGATTTCTGGGCCCTGCTTTCTTCCTCACTCAGCTGAGCCATGTTGATTCTCCAGCAGTGGCTATTTTTTGTATGGCATGCAGTCAGGTATGCTTCTTGCCAGTCACAAGACTTTGAAACATGGATATCTTGATGCTCTGGGTAATTGGTCAAAGGTATGCCGTTGATCGATTATTTAATATTTCATTTGTCTTAAATAGGGAACTGATGCATTCTCCCTGTCTGGTCTATATTCAAACCATCAAGATATTGCCCCTCGATATTCTGTAAGTGTTATTTTGAAATCCCTCGTTCAATTTCTCTTTTTCCTCTAACTAAACTATAATCTCACTCTGCCATTGAAAAAAAAAAAGAAAGAATTTGAAAATCCTTTCTTCATATTTTCTTTTTATTATGAAATCCCACCTTAAAATCCTTCATCCAAACTCAACCTTAAATCTTTTCTGAGGCAAGTAACAGTTTCACCTTTTATATTGTATTTATTGCTGCAGGGAATACTGCTTGGGTTATCCAACATGGCAGGAGTGTTGGCAGGGGTCTTTGGAACAGCAGCAACTGGTTACATCCTGCAACATGGTTAGATCTCCTTCTTTCCATGTTTGAATTGAGCTGCTAGTAAACTTAACCAGAAATACATGTTAGACTATCTGAAATTAATCAGAATATAAAATCTGATTTCTGGCACATACAAGATGGTAAGAGTATGCTGCCTCGAACTGCATCATGCTCCTCTCTGTAGCAACTCTTGATATAGCTGATTCATTTGATATATTCTTCCTAACTGCAGGTTCTTGGGATGATGTTTTCGTCTGGAACCTCTTCTCAACTGGTGAGAAAATACTGGATTGACTCTCAGCTAAGCCTAAATTTTGCATGTGGCATCTCAAGCCTCTGTGATTGAGCTTATTATGGAAGGGTTTCAATTGATTGAATGCAAAGGTGAAAAAAGAGTTGAGAATGAATTCAGATGAAAAGTAAGAAATAGGAATTTTGAGCATGAATTATGAGCTAAACTTTTTAAATGCTGAGTGAGGGCATAGGATCTTGCAGAATCTTTGAATTCTGAAATTGCCACTTCCTTCACCGCCACCATCGGAAGATGCAAGACTTCTCATTGGGGAAGAAATTGTTTGTATAGTAAGTCCACACACCTTCTGTAAATGTTGAATTCAATTCTAACAAGTAAAGTTTGTGATTATTACTAATTTTTCCTCTTCAACACTAGCAAAAGTGAATATCTAAATAGTTAATAGGAGAAAGACTCGACTCACAAAAATGAGGAGTAACTCTCCTCCCTCTCACAGTTTTTTTCCTATTTTGCCCTATATTCTCCCTTTCTCCTTCGTCCTTATACTCTGATCTTTTGGTCTTTTTACAAAAATAGTTTTTTTTTTCATTTTAATCCTTGAAGCTTGCTCTTCTCTTTACTTTTAGCACGGGATGAAATGGGTATTTAATGTTTAAGTCTATTAACTCAATGTGATTTTCCTCTTCTGCCCTTACATTTTATCTAGTCTCTTGAGCTTGGTTTTTTTGGTCTTTTTGAGTCAAATTATTGCTGTTTGTTCAATTATATACTATTGTTTCCCTTTTCATGCTTACCTTTGAAATTAGATTGTGGATTGCAGAAAAGTTGACACGAGGAATCCTGTTAAAATTGAATCTTTGATGAGTCAAAACAAAAACACTAAGTCAACATTTTTAAAAAAAATGTGTAAATAAAGATGTTAATTTTACATTTTTTCTACTTAAGAATGCTAATTTTGTTAGTTTTTAAATAAATATGTTAACTTTTAACTTCTTCTATTTAAGAATATCAACTTTTAATTTTT